CAAGACTTGATGGTTCTCTGCTCACAATGATCAGGATCTTTGAGGGAATGTTCTCTAAAGATTTCTGGAAGCAGGTTATCATTGTGTTCACACGTATCCCACAAGATGCTAAAACCAAGAAGAGGAGAGAGAAACAGAATGATAAAAGTGATGAAGATCTTGCTGCAGACTATATCAAGCTAGTGGAGAGACAGTTCAAGGATTGTACAGGATTGAAATATCTCTACATGGATGCTACATATGACAAAGAAGATGAGGATGAAACAGATGCGTTTGAGACTGCTCTCACTGAACTCTGGAAAACCTTGAATAATTGTCCACCCCTCTCAACAGATCATGTCCAACAGGTAGAGACAGATAATGCTAAACTTAAAAGACAGATTGAGGAGCAGAAACAGGCAAGAGAGGATGCTGAGAATTTGCTGAGGGAAGAATTGGAAAAGCTGAAAGCTGAAAACAAGAATCTTAGTGATAAGGAGCTGGAGAAAAAACTGGAGAAGTTGGTCAAGAATCATGAAGATCAAGGGTTTTCTGTTGCAAATGCGATTTCAGACATTACTGGTGGGGCTACTATAGGCCTTATTGGGGGTCCTGCAGGAGCCGCCATAGGGGCTGTAATAGGAGGTGTAAAATCCTTGGCCAGACTTTTCAGAAGCTAATTTTGTATCCCTAATTGAAATTTGAATAAGGCTGGAAATATGGACGATAAAAAACGGATATGTGACTAGTAACTGATCTAATATATATCAGATATGTGACTAGTAACAGATTATGAAAATGGATTTATAATGTAAATGTAAACATGTAACCTAGATTTAAGTTTGTCATTTATTAACAGAAACATAAATCATGATTTATAATGAATAAAGTATTGAGTTCTTGCATCTTATGAACAATGAAACCCATGGTGTTCAGACAACTTAAACAATAATCTCAGTCTAGTTTTATGAAGGACTAGCTTGGGAACCCGGCGCTGCCCAGGTTACTAAAAGTTACTCCCGCCATTTACACACACTTTTTTTAACCACTCAATCTAGAATCTCAAAACCAAGCAAAAAACCTTTCCCGTGGCTCTCACAAATTCTCCGATAAAAATTTAAGGCAAATCGGTCAGGGGGTTCCGTAGTTATGATCGGACAAACAAACAAAATTGTTTCCTCAGTTACTAATACCCCTACTGCACAGTTTTTTTTCTGAGACACCCTGTAGATATTTAGAGATTTGGATCTTGAGATATTTAGAGATTTGGATCTTGAGATATTTAGATATTTAGATATTTAGATATTTATATATTTAGATATTTAGATATTTAGATATTTAGATATTTAGATATTTACAAATATTTAGATATGTATATATGTGTTAGTTATAGTTGGCCAACCCGCTGGACCAATGCAAACCCTAGGAAAAAATAAACTGACAAAAAATCGATTTTTTTTCTAAAAAATTCGAATTTTTTTTAATTCAGCGGGCAACGCCGGGAATTTCCTTTAGTTTTTCTTTATGAGACCCCATTAAAACCGGGAACCCTAAATGATAGCCTCTAACCTCCTCCTCTACTAAAACTATCAACCCTAAACATAAAAGTAGAGGATTATAACCTATGACCTCCTGTTGGGGGGGGGGGATAATACTCCCCCCCCTGCTTCTTCAATACAAACGGTATCCAGTTTTAAAAAGAAATTTGTGAAATGAATTTTAAAGCTTTACTTTGAGCAATTCAAAACAGCTGATAAACATTTCATTACTTAGTTACTTGTTTTGCTTTGTTTTAAGTTTTGAACGAAAGAATACACTATAAAGGCAACAGGGTTAACCAACCACAAGGATTTAACTTTAATGACGACCAAAACCTCATTAAGTTTTGAACGAAAGAATACACTATAAAGGCAACAGGGTTAACCAACCACAAGGATTTAACTTTATTGACGACCAAAACCTCATTAAGTATGATTGTTCAAAGGTTGAATAAGGGCGTCTGGCTTAATTTTAGTTAATTTTAGTTAAATGATTTGGCAAAAGACAGAAGAAAGAAATTGAGACTTTGCCCCAGATTTTCTAATCATTGCAACCCAATGTCACAGACATTAAATATTACAAAGTATAAATTCTGTTATATTAAATTTTCAAAGCTTGCAATTTTTAAGGATCCCACCATCAGGATGCAAAGATATAATTGGATTAAAAAATTTGAAGGCAAAAATACTAACATTTTTATTCTGTGTGGTAACCCTGTCCAAGGTTAAATGAAGGTGAAGGGGGGGGGGGGGATTATTGTTCATGTGAAAGCTAGGTAATATCAGTATGCCATGCAGTTTTATTTTTTATTCCTTTCTTCTGCAATAATGGGATTCAAGTTTCCACAACATGTTTTGAAATAATCAAATAGCATTAGGTATTACAAGATTTAGTACATGCATTTAGTACCAAATTCAGTACAAATCTAAAGGTAATGCTGTTAGTACATGTTAAGTACGTACACAGTTTTTTGTACATAATTGAATACAGTACAGACTTAGTACACAGTTAATGTTCTAGTACATACAGGGTGAGTCAAAAAAAAGTGTGATTTTCGGCGCCTGGTGCAAAATTGTACCTTTTTTTGTGCAACTCTCCTGTATGGGGTTTTTTCAATATTTTTTGAAAAATTTGTAATTTTTTTTGGTACTCCAATGGCCCAAAAGAAAATCCGCGAATCTTTTTTTTCTCTCAAAATGAAAAGTTCAGAAAAGCAAAAATGTGCATTAATTATATTATTTCTCTCTAAATCTAAAATTTTATTAAAATTGAATCACAGAATCACAAAAAAATTGGCAAAATTGTAATAAGAAAATTCGCAATTTTTAGTTCTTGGCTAATTTTTAAGGAAAAGTTATTTAAATTCTCTAGTTCCTTTCTTCTTAGTATATTTAAAAATTATACCAGAACTGAAAATTGAGAATTTTCTAATTACAATTTTGCAAATTTTCTGAGATTCTGTGATTCAATCTTTTCAAAATTTTAGATTTCGATAGAAACTATTTATTTACACATTTTTATTTTACTGAACTTTTGATTTTGAAAGAAAAAAAAGGTTCGCGGATTTTTTTTTGAACCATTTAAGTGCCAAAAAAAATACAAATTTTCAAAAAATATTAAAAAAAACACCATACAGAAGAGTTGCACAAAAAAGTTACAATTTTGCACCAGGCGCCGCAAATCACACTTTTTTTTTACTCACCCTGTATTTGAATCAATGAATAGATCATTATTATTGCATTTTGTGTCTGCTATTTGTACCGTTCTTTACTTAACTACTTAATTTTTTAAAAATGCTTTAGAAAACTTAAAAGCTGATGTAATTTTTAGCGTAAATAATATTCCATTTGTTAATTATAAGCCATGAAAAACTTACCTTGTAAAGTTGTACTTATATACATATTACATAAGTCAGCATTTAAAAAAAGTTTTGTCCAACAAAAAGTACTTTTTTAAAGTTTAAACATTAGCTCACTTTTTAGTACTTTTTTAAATATCTTTTTAATTCTATCCGTTTTCAATTTATTATTTCTGACCATTTATATTTACATTTTACCACAAACCAATAGTATAGTGGTAAATAAGGGGAAAAGTATCAATACGGTCATGCAATTGCAGTTAATACATTCAACAAATGTCTTTGTTTCTTTGTTTAAACTCTGCAAATTGGTTCAAAGTTAAAGCAGTTTATTTACATCTAAAGGGGCTGTAAGCGTTATTTCAAGTGACCCTCCGTCGATAAAATGACAGTCACAGCGGTGCACTTATCAGCTTGACGTCTGATTTGAAAAGTAATTTAAAAAATATAAAAAGTATTTAATTCTAATAATTTCTCCGTTGATTTTTACGCTAGAAAAACGCAGTTTACTTTCGATTGTTATTGTTATTTCCTGAAATGACGCACCAAAAACAAGAAAGTTAATTGTCAAAAAATTTTATTTTTTAATTAGAGAAAAACGGCGATTGGTTCTTATTGTTGATAGAATATCGTGTGTAAGTCTATAAATGAAGGGTCTCCCTGAGATTGCGTCAGCAAACAAAATATTTTCTGAACAATGGCTTGGGGTTAAGTTTTTTGTTGTTTTCCATAGAGATATGTTTAAAGAAATTAATGTTCTCTGCAGACTGAATACTGATAAAAAAAGGCTGATCAATCTTTCCCTTAGACTAATAAGATTGTGTGTAAGTAAAATATAATATTAGCATTATATATAACGACATAAAAATATAAGAAATCATAAGAAATTTCTCATTTGTCTTGTGTGTGCTCCTTGGTACTTGTATTTAAGATGAGAGGTTTCGTGAAATATATTGACTATAAACTAGAAAATTTTCTTGTAAAACTATTTGTTTTAAAACAACATAAAATAATTATTAGATTGCTTAAAGTCTTCAATTTTCACAGTTTAAGGGTCCCGCCATATGTACAGAATTCATCATTAAAAACTAGAACTATAGTAACCGGGTTCTATAATGGTTACGGCACGTGGATTTAACGGTTCTGTCAATATTTCAGAAAGCTGTGACTTCCGATCACAATTTGACCCCTTATAACTTTATAGCCTTTTTTCTTATATAATTTTTTGTTGGTATATACATTTTAAATGTAAAAGTATAAAATAAACAAATCTGTAAGCTTAAAGATTGTTGAAATATAGACGAAAACACGTTTGATTTCAAATAAAAGAAGCAGGATACTTCTCTCTGTGGTTAGTTCAGTGTGACGGATACCCAGTACTCATGCACCTCTGCCCCTTTAGTAAAAGTAAATTGAACCAATTTAAAGCATAAAGGCTGACCGCGTCGACCTTGTTGCACCGGCTAGTCCTGTCCATAGAGCTAGGTACAGTACAAACTGGGACCGGAAAGATTGACCCGGCTCGGAAATTCAAATGTACTACGGCTGCCCGAGTACTGTAATAGCTTCTGATCTCTGCAGTTAATAAAAAGCTGTTACTCTCTTTTCTCTGATAAAAGCCATACCTGAGATTATTTTGAATGTATCCATGTTTATTATTATCCTCGCCGTACACGGTACTGCAGTACTGTAAATATCCCTGAAATATATATTGTTTATAGTCCAATGAGTAGTGAGTACAGAGTGTACTGTGTACTATACAGTTTATAATCCAATGAGAAGTGTGTACGGAGTGTACTGTGTACTGTACAGTTTATAATCCAATGAGAAGTGTTTACGGAGTGTACTGTGTACTGTGTACAGAGCTGAAAACTTTAGAATGGGATATCCTTAATCCTGATCGGATAATTAATCTGGAGATTAAAAATGAGTGGAGAACAAGGAATATGTAATCTCGAGATTAAGAAAAAGAGTGGATTAAGAATTAATCCCGATATCCACCATTCTAAAGTTTCCATGCTCTGTACAGTTTATAATCCAATGAGAAGTGTGTACGGAGTGTACTGTGTACTGTACAGTTTATAATCCAATGAGTAGTGTTTAGGGAGTGTACTGTGTACTGTATACTGTACAGTTTGCAATCACAATTTAGTATCTGTTGTTCTGTTATTATTCAAAATAAAACAGTTTCCCAAATTTATAAATTTTTTCTGGAACTTTTAAGTTTTTTAGACTTTTTAACAGGCCCCACAAAAAGAAATTTTCTTATGAAGGTTCCAACTTTTCAAAATTGTGTTTTGGAAAAGTTTGCTTCTATTTCAACCATACAAAATAGCTTCTCTCATGGTCAAAACTTGACATAGTGCAAATCAAGAATAAGCAATAATTTTAGTGGAACCACTTTAAAGTCCAAAAGCCTTAAAAGTTTTTAAAAAAATCGTACTCATACTCGTATCGTCCTTAAACTTTGCAGATAAATATCAACAACCCCTGTTCCCCTCTCTTCGCGGTTCTAAAAATATGTAAAAAAATAAAAGAATAAAAATATTGGATCAGGAACAAGAACTTTCGTAGTTTCAATTTTTACATTTTATTTTTTCTTTAATAGGAAAATTGTTCCTCTTAGAAAAACAGCGTTCTGCGAATTTCGGATAAATGACATGACAGGGATCTTTTCCCCCTGGAATGATCTAACTGTTATTTAATTTGTATTTCCAGCGTCAAAACAAGTTGAATTTTTCAAATAAAACAGATTTTACTTTAAATTGTAGCTGCGGAGAGAAATCCTGAATAGAGAAAATGAAATTAAACAAAACATAGAATTTATTTGTTTATAAATCAAGGAAAGCAGAGGGAATTCTTTGACATCAAGAAAATGTATTTAGACGTGCTCTTTTCTTCGTTATAAAATGTACAAAGCAAACCTACAAAACATTTATTAAAGGGATTGTCTACGTAACTTGAAAGGGATTGTGTATTATGATTTGAGTTTTCCAAAAGGTAAAAAATGCATTTATCTAACCCTACTCCAACAATTATGTAGAAAATGGTGACGCAGATTATCAATTTTAAAATCAAGTAAAAAAACATTACTTTATTGGATAACAAAAAAATGTTAGAAAAAGGTTTGTTCAATACTGATGTCGTGAATTAAGGGATTGTGTTCTCAAAAGCTAAAAAATGTAATTTCCACGTAAAGATGGCAATGCCCGATAACTGTCTGTTGAAACCTGTTGCTGATAAAGATGTGGAAGACATTGTCGTTTTTCTAGGTTTAAAAAGTTTTCGAAATTATAAAATTAATATTATTACAGTCCCTCTGATGTCATTGATAGTACAATATTATCTATATTTTATATATATATAGATTTATATATTTAGTTTACCTGACTGGGTGGTTGATATCCATCCTGTATATAGAGTGTAGAGTGCATCCCACATACACTTTACTAAATATATGTATAGTTAACTATAGTTTAATCGTAGGCGCAGGATTAAAACTATAGGTTTGTTCTCCCCCCCCCCTCTCTTCCCATGTAAAAGAATCAGTTTTGTTAATTAAATCAATATGTTTACTGGCCCAAATAGTGTTTGCTCAGCTTTGATCATGGATTGAAGGAAGCTTTGATCATGGATTGAAGGGAGCTTTGATCATGGATTGAAGGGAGCTTTGATCATGGATTGAAGGGAGCTTTGATCATGGATTGAAGGGAGCTTTGATCATGAATTGAAGGAAGCTTTGATCATGGATTGAAGGGAGCTTTGATCATGGATTGAAGGGAGCTTTGATCATGGATTGAAGGAAGCTTTGATCATGGATTGAAGGAAGCTTTGATCATGGATTGAAAGGAGCTTTGATCATAGATTGAAGGAAGCTTTGATCATGGATTGAAGGGAGCTTTGATCATGGATTGAAGGGAGCTTTGATCATGGATTGAAGGGAGCTTTAATCATGGATTGAAGGAAGCTTTGATCATGGATTGAAGGAAGCTTTGATCATGGATTGAAGGGAGCTTTGATCATAGATTAAAGGAAGCTTTGTTCATGGATTGAAGGGAGCTTTGATCATAGATTGAAGGATGCTTTGATCATGGATTGAAGGGAGCTTTGATCATGGATTAAAGGAGGCTTTGATTATTGATTGAAGGAAACTTTGATCATTGATTGAAGGAAGCTTTGATCGAGAAGGATTAACTGAAATAAAGAGGTTAAGCATTGATCCCCGTATTAAAATTGCCCATCGTGGATATCGAGAAAATCAATTGGAATTTTTACCATTAAACACAAAAGATCCCAGCTCTGAAGATATTATAAATTAGTTCTGAAGAAGTGAAATTGGAATTGACAACTTTATCTGTGTTTTCTCTCCCAGTGTTACGATTAAAACTTCTAATAATTATTTTCTCTCAGATGATTCAATAGCAGTATAGTACAAATGTCTAAATTGTATCATAAAGCAAATGTAAAAATCAAATAATCAATCCAATTATGAGAAACAGACATTGCTCACTGTGAACTGGACAGAATTAAAAGTATGTGACGTTACTAGTCGGGCTTTGTGACCTCGTAGTGCTTCTAGTTTTCATTGAACAAGTATGAGAAAAGCTAATCCGGGTTATACATATTAGAAATTTAAAACACTTTTCTACTTCTCAATAACTCGTCAATAAGAGGAGTAATGATTGAAAACATCGTGAAAATGAAAATTCACTCTTTATGAAAGCAATTTTCATTAGTTTAACGTGAGTTACTAAGTGGTACAATTTTTTTGTTGCCATTATACAATTTTTTTAGACACCCTATGAAGGGTTACCCAGCTAATTAATGATTTAATTTATAACTTGCCTGACCCCTTTATTTAATATTTTGACTCAACCAGGGAAAAAAGGAATTAAAATTCACAACTTTTTATGATTTACATACGTCTAGTTTTATGCAAGATAATTTAAATATAAAGGAAGGAGTTGGGAGAGGGAACGGAGGCATTGAAAATTTACGTCTCCCCGGCCCCCACTGTTCGTAATTAGTGGGATAATTAGTTTAAATTAGACATATCAAGATAAGATCAGTTTTATGTCACGCTAAACTAACTATATAGATCTAGTATGCCCTGGTTGTCACGCTAAACTAACTATATAGATCTAGTATGCCCTGGTTGTCACGCTAAACTAACTAGATAGATCTAGTATGCCCTGGTTGTATAACGAAAACAACTTTTTCAATTGAGTTCTGTCAAATCTAGGAACAAAGGATTATGCTGCTTGCACCCTTTATAGTTTTCAATCATTAGAATTGGTCATTGGCCAAGGGAAAAGTACCGACAACAAAATCTTTAAAAATCTGAATTTTTTTAGAGAAAATGGCTAGAAATTGAAGGTTCGTTGTTTTTTTAAACCAGCACATCTGGATCACTGTAAGATATAATAAATATTCACGAACGTTATCGGCCACGGGTAGAAGATAATTAAATCAAAAATTTTCGTCGAAGTTTCTGTAAAGGCCATTAGAAATTTTACCGCGATCCGTGGAGGCCGAAGAAGATGTCAAATAAGTAAATAAACAAAATTCAACTTAAAATTTGCAAAAAGATAAATGTTCAATACAAAAACTACGTACTTGTGTACTAAAAATCTCTAAAAGTTTCACAAATCTAAATGATAAAACAAGACATTCGTATAAATGTTCCCCATAGCCGACCAAACGGATTGACCAAATGTACACTTATGGGTAGTCTGGGGGTACAATATAGGCTAAAAAAATTAAATTTTAATTTTTTCAAATTTTTTTTATTTTATTTATGTTTTCAAATTTTTTTTTCCACGGGCAACGCCGGGCCCTTTAACTAACCGTTAATATAAGAGGATGTAAAAAAATGAAACTGAAAAACATTCATCTAAATCAAACGCTATAAACAATCCAGAAAACTCATTTTTTTAAACTAACGATAAAAGAAAAAAATGAAGCATTATTATGAGCGGACTACCCAGTTTAAATCTATTGAATACGGATTGGATAAGGTCGGATTAATTATGATGGTTCAAAGTATAAAAGTAGGCCTACTCATGCAACTGCACAGAATAGGTGCTACATAAACCGACCTAAAAGAAACGAACATAGGAGGTTTTAGAGTAAACCGAACCTTTTGGTATTATTTCAAACATTTTTTTTTAATCTGATCTAACTTACCAATTGATACATAGTTGTACATTATAAACCTTACAACCTTTCTCCGTAAAATGTCGTCTTAAACCAAATCATACCCCCGGAGCCAAACCCAACATTTCTCTGGCAAATAGACGCAAATTCGTGAAAAGTGAATCATGTTTAATATATTAATTAATACCTGTAATTTATTACAGATTTTTCCGTATTTGCAAATATGGAAAAGTAGTGGAGAGAGAGGATATCGACCAGCTTTCAAGCACCTGTCGACCCTTTTCTGGGATTATCAACCTTAGACCAACTGATCGACCCTTTACTCGGACGAGGACCCTTTGAGCTCAACAATAGTGCATTTAACTTTAGGTCGGAAAACCCAAAGGTACGATTTCGTTAGTTTGATTGCGAAGACATCACAAAATGCAGTTGTCCAGAGATTACTTATAATCCATATTTGGATCTCTAGCCATACACGCAAAAATACATACTTAAACCGACTCAGAGAAGAGGGAAACTTATGGATGGACGGAATCAGTTAAGCTCGTTCTCTCAACAAGAATCGACTGTCTTTCCAACGTTTATCTATTTAACACAAAGAGATCGAGCACTAAAATGAGAGACTAAGTTTAACTGATTTACTCCGTTCCAAAGTTTACACTTCTTAAAAAAATAGCATAAACATAACGTTAATCCTCCCTTGAAATGTGCCTCATTTGTAAAAATAAATAAAAATAAATCGGTTGCCTAATCTAAAATGGCGAAAGTTAACTGAATGCCGCAATCTTTTCTCCGAATTTGTCGATTATTGAGAAACAGGTTTTACTAACTTTTTTTAAAGCCATTCACGCAAAATATAAAACCTTTCTAAATAACATTGCTATCATTGATAACGCTTTATTTGTTAGATTAAAATACGATTTTTAAAAATATTTTTTAAAAATCAGTTATCAGTTACAAAGACAATATCCGTCGAAGGAAATTGATAAAAGCAGAGAGGTTCCAATATTTTCTCAAAATATAAATTTAATTTTAAATCTATTTCTAAATTTTATAAATCCCCGGCTTAAAAAATTTAAAAATCTGTATCTTATGCAACTCCCGAAGTAATTCAAATCCTTCAGATTATCTTCCCTAAAAGTCAAGAAGTTTCAAGATAATAGTTTTAAAATTAGAGTGATATGGAAAACACACATAAGGAGGGGGGGGGGGGGGTCGTTTTTCTGAAATGATCCTTACTTCTACCCCCCCCCCTCTCTCCACCTTCAACATTTTGGTCCTACTTCTTCCCCATTCATATTCATTCAATGATAACCAAAACACAACGGAATAGAAATACGACATTATTGCAATAATATAAGTGTATTTGATGTTACGAAACAAACAGTTCACCATACACTAATTTAGTCACTGGGTCTGTTTACACTGCACAAGTGCTATGGCTCATGCTTATTGTACTTTTTAACGTCATAACTTGATTCAAAAAGTCGTTTTCCTTTTTCAATGTTTTTGGGTTATAAGTGTAGCTTATTATTAGAAAGAAAAAACTTTGTTAAGCGTCCCGAATTTGTCACACTGATTCCCATCCTTAATCCTTGACAAACGGCCAAGTACAGTTTGAACGAATGCATAATAAGAAAAAATCTGAAATATTAGTATTCAGAGGATTTAGGAAATATTTTTAGGTTTAAGTCGACAGAAAATCTCCAACACCAACGTGCAAACACCCAGACAAAAACAGTGGGTGGGAGTCAGGCAGCGAGGCAAGGCTTGAGACATGCATCCAGGCCTATACAGACAGGCCCCAGACAGGCCGAATAAATAGTAGACAGGAGAGAGAGAGAAAAACCAAGTAAAGTGGACAGGTTGGTCTGAAGTAGAACATGCAATATCAAAACAACACAATTCTTTTATAATTGGATAATTTTGCACTGTACCTTTTCCGTACCTTGAGCTCACTATCTTTCTAGTTTCCTAGCTTCCTAGCTTCTTAGCTTCCTTTCTTCCTTGCTTCCTAGTTTCCTAGCTTCCTAGCTTCCTTTCTTCCTAGCTTCCTAGCCTCCTAGCTTCCTAGTTTCCTAGCCTCCTAGCTTCCTAGTTTTCTTGCTTCCTAGCTTCCTTCCTTCCTAGCTTCCTAGCTTCCTAGCTTCCTAGCTTCCTAGCTTCCTAGTTTCCTAGCTTCATAGCTTCCTAGCTTCCTAGCTTCCTAGCTTCCTAGCTTCTTAGCTTCCTTTCTTCCTTGCTTTCTAGTTTCCTAGCTTCCTAGCTTCTTAACTTCCTAGCTTTCCTAGCT